CCCCAAAACCCCAAAACCCCAAAACCCCATAACGGTAATTCGCTTGTGTAGGAAGCCAGAATGATTTTTTTAATAAGTATGATTATTGAATAAAAATAGTTTATGCAATATTTTATCAGAGTATAGCACAAATAAACTAAATGTCTACGAATCTCTATAATTATATACTAGCAATGTAAGAAAAAGAATTGCCTCTTATTTTGATATTTTAGTGCTGTAATGTGGCTTTCCTTCTCATGCCACGGATAGTTATGTTTTGATTATGATTTTCCCTAAGTGATGGGAAGTGATAGTTTTGATACAATATTTTTCGCTATAGACATTGATGCTAATGATAATATTATTGCCGGAGGGATTTCTTACGATTAAACTTTGACAGCCAATACTAACGGGTTGCCATTAATTGTTTGATACTCAGCAGATGGAATATTATAATATAGTCATACATACTCAGGAGATGGAATTTAATATGTTTCTGATATAAAGTATTTTGACACTAGCTACTTTGTAGCTGTATTCTCAGATTCTTCACTTCAGTAACCTCTAGTTATAGGATCATTTCACATTTCAAGTGGAATCGCTTTTTAAAGTATTTCTGACCCATATATGGGCCATTTTAACAATCAAACTTTAAATTCTTTGATTGTCGGATATTCAGCCTCGTTTTTTAGTTAAATTTATGCTGATTGGCTTGATGGATTCTATATTACTAGGTTCAGTCTAAGTTCTGGTGGGCTATAATTAGTAACAACTAATAAATATATTGGTCCTTGGTATCCTATGGCGGGTACTTTCGATGATACTAATACTTTTTATTATATCGCTGGAAAAACTGACACCTATTTATCATTAACAATGTCATAGATTTCAAACTCTTCTCCAGTTTATCACTTGAGAACAAGCATTGGTTTATCAACCTATTCAGAGTATATTGTCAGCATTAAGCATTTTGTATCAGGCACTTCAAAATTAATTTATGGTTGTCTTGGATAAACAAAGTTTGGGATAGTAATTATAGATGTAACTAATGGATAATCTACAACAGGAACTGGGGTAACTGGAAAATACTTCTTGGATTCACTTGAACATTCATGCTTTGATATATAGCCAATAAACCAAACTTATGTAGTAGCAATGACTCAGAAATATACAGCAACTTCTGTTGATTAGTTGATAGCTTATATAGACTTAACGAGTAATAAGATCACTTATGTTCTCCTCGGATTATTATCAGATAGTTCTAATTTTATTAGGGATGCTAAAATAGTCTCCTTAGATAAAATAATATTCGCAGGAGGTATGCTTTCCATTCATGGTACTGCCGATCACTAGTATGATTATTTTTAAGGGCTTCTTTATGTTTATAAATCTACAGACGCGGCAGATAAAAAGCCTATGGATTATAGTTAGTCTATATTTACGCTTTAAATCCTTAGCTTTTAGACTTTTAATTCTCCAGTTTACATTGGGGATCATGGACTTTCACTTTACACCCTTACTTATAGTGGCGTTCCTGTTTCAGTTGATAGGAATCTTTAAAATTACTATCAAGTTTATTACATCACTATGCAAGCACCTGAAGCTGTAACTAATATTGAGTATTACATTTTTTCTGGACAGTAACAATTTTCTATTCCCTCTTATCTTTAAACTACCTGTACAGATGCTTAGTTCTCATTTTAATACTAATCAACTCCTGCCCTCCCAACTTCTGTTTCTCAAAGTAACTTCGTATTCACTATTGATTCTAGTTTAATAATTGAAGCTAAAGTATATTCTGTTCTATTCATTCAGACTGTGCAAAATTCTATTTCAGCAAATCAAACCTTTACAATATCTTTGATAAATCCTTGCCCAATGGCTGACATATAACCTCCTATCATAAGAAACTAAGCATATTTCATTAATTCTACAGCTTTACATATTCCATTACTTGATTTCACTTCAAATTATACTTCCGAACAATGTGGAAGCTTTACTTATGAGATTACAGATGAATTTGATTAGCCATTGACTTAAATTTTCACACATGATACTATTTAGAAGCAATTATCAGTATTAACTGATTCCTGAGAGGATAGAGGTATATAATTAAATATTTAAAGTTTTTAGGCTAATATAAGATTAAATACACTGCATAGTAAGGAACTTATATAACAACTAAGAAATCTTTGTAATTTTTAGTCACAGTTGAAGTGAACTGTGAAGAGACTATTATTACTTCAAATAGAATTTAAGATCAAGTTTATACTCTGCAGTAATAGTAGCTAAGTCTTCCAATAGTGGGTTGGTAAGAAATCACTGGAGTCTGTGGATCATTTACTTTCACAGTTTATGTTGATGGCGTATAAAAATCTTCAAATAATTTCATGAAATACGATAGTGCGGCAAATATTATCTCAATATATAGTAAATCGACTTCAGACATTGGAATACATTAATTCAAAATTAGGGGAGAATTATCTAGTTATGGTTTATATCAAGAAATTTAGTTTTATGTAAGCATTGAGGGACATAACTCAGCTCCACCTGTGTATCTTACTCCTATATAAACACAGTTTGTGCTTACTTCCCCTGAAAAAATAAACTATTAGTTTCCAGAGATAGTAGACTTAGACAATGACAATTTTATCATAGCAGTAGATTTTGGAATGGCTAAGAATTTCATTTCGTATGTTCATCCTTATTTAACTATAAAAGCATAATCCATCTATACTGGAAATTATCTGATTAAGATCATTTTGAGGGATGATAACCCCTTGCCACTAGAATAAAAATACGAAATAACAATCGCAATAATGACGCAGGAAAAGTAGGATTAGCCTGTTAGTGATAATCCAAAAAATAGTTAGGAGTATAGCTTGAACGGAGTTAAAATAAATAAGAATTAGTTAACATCTACATTATCAGCTAATGTTAAGAGCATTTCTTTGAAAGGAGAACTTGTAATTAGATTTTCTGAACCACTATTTGAACTTTCAGATTTCACTCCAATATACAAGTTGAATGCAATTGACTTCAGGTATAAATCTCATTCAGAAATAAAAACTAAGATCAGTGTGAATTACACTGTAATTTCAATGCAACAAAATCAAATGAAATTTCATTTAGAATTCTCTGACCCTGATTCTGTTTCAATGGAAAATGTAAATCTTAAATTAACTAATTAAAGTCATAGACCTATGATTAGATTCAAATATTTTTTTTGGTTCCATATTTCTTCATTAGCAAGTCATTGTGACAGAATTAAAAGATGCAATTGATGAAAAAGACACAAATCAAAATAGTACTGATTTTGACGATAGTGAAATTTTAAAAAGTACCAGATTTTAAACTATGGATATCTTTCAACAATTCAAATATGCTTTTCTTCAAACTATATATACCTTAGCTTATTAAGTTATAACTCTTCAAGTATATCATAAAATCTGGGTTTATTGTTTTTTGTTTTATTTGGTTTGATAATTTTTGCTTCCCTAATTTTGATTTTGGCTCTTGTTCTAAGTAGAAGCAGAAGGTAACTAACTTATTTAAATTGCTTTTGAACATTTTGATTTCAATATAGAGGATAGATATTTTTCATTTGGATTAAAAGAAAACTCTTTTTCAACACATTTTTAAGGACATTGATGAAAGGATATCTATCATTTGCTATTGCTCTTTTTATTTCATTTTAAAGTGTGAGTGTCTTAATTTTTAGCTAACAATACTATTTATAGACAAAAGAAAAGTTAGGTAGTAACTTACTTACTGTGACCTTTGCTTTTATGATATTTTCTACACCATTTATAGTGTACAGCTTTCTGATTTAGAATCAAAAGAAACTTGATGATTTTGAATTTAAATCGAAATATGGCTCTCTCTATTTCAATCTGCGTACATCCTCATATGTTTCAGTGCTATATCCAACAATTTTCTTTATTAGGAGAATATTTTATGCAGCTAATTTATGCTTTCTAGAGGAGTCTACACTCATTCAGCTTTACTTTTAGATATTCATTAGCTTTTGGATTGTCTCATATATTTTTTAATATAGACCTATTGATGGATCAACAACATTTTTTCTTGAATTAGTAAATGAGTTGATGCTTCTAATTGTATCATATGCACTCATTCCTCTGGCTCTTAATATTTTTGACTAGGAAACCAGGTAACATACATTCATTACATTAAGAATTATAGCTAGATGAGAAATTTTCTTGGATGGGCAGTGATTTATTTAGTATCATTTGTTATACTGACTAATTGGATTCACTTAGTTATCTGCGTAGCCTAAGATTTTAGGAAATCTTACATAGAATACTGTAAGATGAGAAGATACAAGAATAGCATTGGGGCTAATAATCTTCAGCTTCTTTTATAACAGACTACTTAGAAATTTAATACGAAGAAGAAAAGAAAAATAATAAGATCAAATTCTAGCAAGAGTAATAATGCAAACTATACTATAGCGAAAAAACAGAAAACATTGATGGATCTTAAAAATGCTAAATTAGCGAGTTTCGGCTAGCTTGGGCATGTAGATAATAAAACAAATTAGAGATAACTTCATCGATAGCATACAATCAAACGTAAGAGGAATAATACCAAGCCTGTTTAAATAGAAGCTTTCAAAGCATAAGATTGTTTGGATATTGATAGTCTCCAAACTGAAGAGTAAGATATAAATGAAGAAGCAATGGGCAGCATTTTCAAACAAGATATCCCAGCTACAACAATGCCAGGGTTAAACTCTTCTCCCGCACCTATTTAAAAGTAAAAGACTAAGAAAAGAGATGCTGCTAAAGCTTTTTAGAAAATAATCAAAACAAAAATAATGAACAATGCATTTATGCTACCAAAAAAGAAAAACAAAAAGTGATTTTACACGAACTTTAATTTTTAATGAAAATGGAAGCTAAATACCAGATAATATAAAGGAAGGGAATTAATATAAATATAAGAGAGTGTATTTGATAATTTAATTATCTTATAATATGCCAGAATTTCGACTCTAGGGGTTTTGGGGTTTTGGGG